TATATATATATATATATGCTTACATCTGTTTATACTTAACCAGCAAATCTATTTAGTAAAAAATAGCTGCTTTTGATAAGCACTCCCCATTTCACTCCTATCACAACGTGGTGGACAGTAGCTGACAGCAGCGTAAAAAGAGAGGCCGAAAGCACATATCAGTGTTTGATTATTCCCAAAAACTTCAACCATAACGTCACTACACAAAAAATTTTCAGCAGTGAGTATTTAGCCACCTTCAAAAACACATAAATACAGGCACAGATACGCAGACACAACACAGACACAAACGTACTCTCACACACAAATGGAAATATAAAACAGACATACACTCATACAGACATACAGAAGCAAACACACACGAGCAAACAAACAAACAAACAAACAAACAAATAAACAAACACACAGATACATCAACATACATAAATACATATAACATACGTACATATACACATATACGTACAAACAAATAAATATACCGACAGACAGACATACAAACATATTGGCAAGCTTAATGCTTACACGCTGCCAAAGATGCTCTGCAAAGGTGAATGGAGAGTCAAGAAGAATGGAGCAGAATATAATAAAATCGAAGGGATGGGGATGGGCAACAGGGAAAGATCGCAAATACATTACCATAAAAACAGATTATAAAAAAAGCACCTCAACCAGAATAAAACTGATTTTTCTTTAAAACAGTACTTTTCCAGATATGTATAGGATATATATCCTACATCTGGTACTTTTGTTGAATGCGTAATTTGAATAGACGACAGCCATTTATGTTGAAAAATAAGCTAGAAATAGATGAGCAGATCATTAATTTATATATAATTAAGTATTCATTTCACATTTACATGCGAATCTTTAAAAGATTACCAGTTATCTAACGTATATCACTGACTATAAAATAAAAAAGTACTGTCGTAAACTTCCTATCAAGCAACTAAGACAGTTATACAAATAAATAAATAAATAAAATTATATATATATATATAATTTTTTTGAACAGGAACTAACAAGCAACGATGTCGAACAGTCAATGACGTCGATAATTTCACGTAACAACGATTTAACGACTACGCCTTTTCACTATCGCTAGCACTTGCTAAGAATACATTCATGTACAGGACATAACACTTTAAAAAAGCCCACATGTTAAATGATATTTGAATATTTACTAATTCCAACATTTTAAAACATCTCGAGACCTACCTAACAGTGAACGATATAACACTTCAAGCGAAACCCTGCACTAAGGTATCTCTGAAAGCCAAGTTGTGCCTTCTTTTTACGCTCACCACTACTGATTTCCGCAACGCGTTGGCTTTGTGGAAACTATTCGTGGCATTAGAAGCGCAGGAGAGGTAAAAAAAACCAAGAGTAGAAGTTCCACCATGCAAAATGGCTATTCGACCATTTTTGGTTCCTTTTTACTGTCTGATAGTTACTTCTTTTCCCTTTGAGTAGACCAACTTTGAAACAGTTTTCAACGAAAAACACTAGAAGAAATATTAGTCCTGCAGAAAAAGATTCTTTGAGGTTCTGTCTGTATCGTTAGTCCGCTCCTTCTATCCAAATTCCGTTTATCTTTAGAATAAGAAAAATGTACGCCAAAAAGTTACTCGTAAAATTTTGTTTTCTTAGCGTCCTAGCACGTTGTTACTCTCAGCACTAAAGAATGCTATCGAGCTGGTTAATTATCGAAATCAATGTTGACCGGTTGAAAGGGACTTTCATCAAGAATTTCAATATTAAAAAAATTACTGAAAAACACAAAAAGAAACTTGTTCCAAAAAAATCCTCTTACCATCCTGGCCAACTGGCCAGTGCTCTCCTTTTTGCTATTTGACTTGAAGTAATGAAATGGACTGCCACTGTCACCAGTTAACTCAAGAAAACGAAATGTTTTAAGTGAAAGCTGACCAAAATAAAAATGATTACAATTACTCAGGAAACTCCATGTAATCAAAACAATGACACTAAACGTTTTACAGCTACAGATTTCTTCTAAGTCAATCTTTATCTAATAAACTTTTGCACTAACCACAACGAGGTTTTTCGAACACTGGTTAAGTCTACTTAAAGATTCAACGCTACAGAAAAACCAGTTCAGTTTACACCTGCGATGGTTTATGTTTTACTCAACTAATTCCTCATGAAAGTCACCTTCTAATATGTATGAGTTTATATTACTAGCTTTTCAAGTTTTCCAAGTTGATTTTGTTTTCATTATTATGATGAG